ATTGTGTAATCTTTATGACTATTAATGCTGTCACCAACAATAACTCAGTCATTATTCTCATCGCTATCACAGTCACTCCAAAAAGACCCCATCACCTTGGTCTTCTGACACCCTGCACTTAAGATCACTGAGGTCATTTGTCAATTTAACTTAAAAGAAAAAAAACAAACGCACTAGTTCCTAGGGACAGATGGGAGGAGAAGGCGACCTGTAACACGGCTTACCAGGGAAGTGAGGAAAGACATGCGAAATACCCAAATCCGCAACAACTGGGGAAGCCACGCACGCAGCTGCCCCGTAACTGCCCCTGTGCCTGGGCAACTTTTTATTTGAATGCAATCATGGAAGCTCCTGCAAACATGCCATGAGGGGCACCTGTGAACGTCCACTACTGACCTGAGAGCTTGCGGTCAGTTCATCTCTCCGGATGGACTGGAACCCCAGGGAACAAGATGAGAACAGGGAAGCCTCCCAGGCTGAAAAGAGGCAGAACTGCCTGGAGCACAGAGGCATAATCCGGGGCCTGCAAAAGGGAACAGAAAGAGGGAACGAAGGACCTTGGATTCTGTAGAGAAGGTTCAACCTTCAGATAGGTGACAATAATTTTTAACAGTTCTGTGCCGTCTTTTCAAGAAAGCTCAAATCCAGATACAAGAAAGAACAGTAGAGGGATCAGTCCATGGCGAGGCTGTCATTCCCCAGGTGGAGAGAGAGCCAGGGGAGAGCAAATGAACAAGTCTGAGCACTTGTGGTGGCTCAGGCTCGGCGACTTACTAACATTATCTTATGCAGTCCTCCCAACAGCGCTGTGCTGCTGAGAGCTGAGCTGCCCTGCCTGCCAGGCTCTCTGCTCTGCGTGCATGACCTCACCAAGCCCTTTCAGCCGCCCAGCGAGGTAGGTACAGTATTACTCCCATTTAGTAGGTGGTGACGCTGAGACACGAAGAGCTTCAGTAAATTGCCTAAGACCAGACAATTAGTAAGAGATTAGGCTCACCTCTGACATCACAGGGTGAGCTCACTTAACAGTTAGAGACTGGGGGACACAGAAGGAGACAGCAGAGTACAGGACAGGATTGCAGCAGACAGAGAGGTTAAGTATCCAAAAGTTTGGGACCAGGTCAGGTGGCCATACCTCTGGCACCAGGCCTTGAGAAGGAGGAGTGTTGGCTGGAGGGGTAGATTGCACGTTCCTTCTAACATCTGGCAGACAGAAGGGGGATTGTCTCCAGGGACTAGGAGAGTGACCTCAGCACAGTGAGTTGATTAAGCATAAAGGTAACTATCCAATTTCATTGTAAACTGGGAAGAAAGAAGCTGACGTAATTCAGATTTGTAATAACTGTCTCTGCAGTCTTCCCTTTCTGCCTTAGCTCAAGATACATAACTATCACAAAGCCCAGCGTAGGTCTCGGTGGAGACTTTGGATGGTCTTTTGAAGAAACAGTTTGTGTGCTGGGAACCCCTCGGAAACAGCATGGGTGGTTACACAGACCTGAGTTTGAATCTTGTTTCTGTCACGTAGTCAAGGGCCCCGGGGTCTCCACGTCTGTTAAATGGGGGTATTTCACATTTCAGGGGCTTGTGTGGATGATCAGAGATGTTACATAAGGTATTCATCATGTTCTTGGCTGAGTGCAGGCACTTCATGAAGTTAGTTCCCTTTCTCCCTTCTTCCCAACCTTGACTCAGAAGTGCTTTATGACCAGGGCGTCAGAGCGCCCCCTTCAGGACTCCTGAAGTTAAGGGAACCAGCATCCCACCAGGGGAAGACAGGTATGAAGCCAGAGGGACAGCCTCTGGAAGCTTGCCCCCCTTCACTTCAGCGCTGGGGAAGGAACTTCACACACTTGGTGCCTGTAAGATCCCAAATAGCCACCCAGTTCAAAGGAAGGATCATGCAACAGGGAGCACAAAGGGGCTTTCAGATTAGGAGCCAGACTATAATTTCCACAAGGTTGGTGCGGTGGTTCACACCCTCCTGCTGGCTGTGCCCAGGTGCTCTCCTTGGATTCTGGCCACGTCCCCAGCATACCTTTCCTTCGCCCCACAGGGCCCAGAGAGTCTCAGACTCTCCTTCCCTCTTTCCAGCTGCCCCCACTAACCCTAGTCTCTCTTGTTTCTCTCCTCTAGACTGGCTGTGACATGGCCACAGCCGCCCAGTGTTCCCTCCCTTCCTCACTACCCTTGGCTGTGTGAGGATAGATCGAGCACAGGCCTGGGCAAGCCACTTCACCTCCTAAGCCACTATTGCCTCATCGGTATAAAAGGACCCCCGTTTTGCCCTGGCTGGTTTGGCTCAGTGGGTAGAGTGTCGGCTCGTGGACTGAAGGGTCCCAGATTTGATTCCCAGTCAAGGGCACATAGCTGGGTAGCAAGTTCTCCCCGCTCCGGCTGGGGCGCGTGCAGGAGGCAACTAATCCATGTGTCTCTCTCACAGGATGTTTCTGTCTCTCTCCCCGCCTCCCTTCCACTCTCTCTCTGAAAAAGCAATGAAAAAAAATATCCTCCAGTGAGGATTAACCCCCCCAAAAGGACCCCTGTTTTAAGGGTTTTACTATGATTTCTATAGGAAGCAGAGCCAAGGAAGTAGCAAAATTAACTAATGTGAGAAAATTTGAATGTTCCAGAAAGGCCACCAAATTCTTGTAGTCCCTAACTATTCATATGGACATTTAGAAAGGATAAAGTATTTTATTATATTTATCGAACATAAAGGGTTAGAACTATATTATTATTCTTAATAAAGAGCAGCCTGAATATACATACACAAGTGTATGTGTGCACATCCCTGTATGTTTGATTAGTTACAAAAATTAAGGAAGGAGAGTTAATCGTTAACAATGGTTTAATCTCTAGGGCATGAGATTAGGATGATCGAGTGTCTTGTCTTTTTACTTTGCATACTTCTGAACAGTTTAATTTTTTAATGAGTATATATTGCTATTATATTTTAATGGATGTATACTGGTATTTACACATAACTACTGTAACAAACAAAATGATAAAAACATAGTGTTAACCTGGCCTTTCTCTCATATCCCTGCTCTTTCCTTATATCCCTGAAAATATTAGTGTTTTAGCTCTCCTTTCTCACCACCAACCATCCCACCCTCATCCCTAGAAAAGCAGGAAAAGTAATAGACATAAATGTGCAAATCCCTTGGATTCCTCAGACTCAAATGGGCTCAATGATATTCCTGAGGAGCAGTATCTTATTTCAACATGCCCCCAGCATTAAACAGGAAATGTCAGATTAGTCCATTCCTGAATTATCTGCTCTCCAGGTGGGAAAACCAAACTTCACCTAAACTTCAGAGCCTGCCAGAGGACTACGAGGGCTTAGCAATCAGCAACTGAGGGTAGTGAGAACATCTACCTTCCAGTCCCAATCCTGCCACTGCCTGTGTGACCATGGATAAGGCCCTTCTCTCTGGGCTCCACTTTCCCTATTGAATGGGAACGTCAGTGCCAACCTCTAAGCCTGTTGACAAGATTATATAAGGTAATGCAAGTAGAAGCACATTTTCAATTGCAAAATATTTCAGTGAGATAAAATAGAGCATGGGGCTTGCCAGCCGTTGCAGAAAGGGAGGCCACTTTTCATTTGAGTGAACTTCATGTACAGACACAGAGAGAAAAATGGAGTAAGGGAGGGTCCTTGGAAGCTGGTGGCATTTTCCTCCACCCTGGAAATCCAAACCAAGAGGAGGGTGCGTGTGTGTTTTGTATGTTGGGGATGGTGTTTTCAAAGAGTGGATGTGGAGCACACACAACATCAAATCCCTGCCTAGAGCTATTCCATGGGTTTTGAGGCCTGTCAGTAGAATCCTGTGTCCTGGCTGCAGACTTCAGGCCCAGGGCACAAGAGGGAAGAGCCAGCAAGGAAGCCTGTTAACTGCCCTCCCTCCCTTTCCAGGGCACCTT